GTGTCAAGAAATATCTAATTGCAGTTTCTCACAAATACTCCTGTATATAATTTACCATTTGAAGAACTATGCTTCATCATTTCATATTTGCTCTTGTGGCTCAGGGGTGGTAGAATTTGGAAACATACCAGCTACCCATTTCATTCAGCCTGTTTAATTTTAATTTCATGTAACATAAAAACAGAAGGAAAAATTGCCAAACTATTCGGGGTGCATCCCCTTCCCCTCTTCTTATGTGTATAAAAAAAATTTATTTTCCTTGTGAAAGGATAGAAGGGGAATCTTTATTTTGACTGAATTTCCTATTTTTCTTTTTGTTAGTCTCTCTGGAACCTCGTAGTAAAACGTGTTTCTCCACAGACTTCATTCTCTTCCTGTATTCCTCAATGCAACTACAATATGTTATATTGTGTTTTTAATAAAGCAGGCATCAGCAGCTATTTATTCTCTGCTTCTTAAGGACTAAAGAGCCTCAAAAATAAATATTATCTAAAAGGAAAAACATTAGAGAATGACAGCTACTATTTTTTTTTTTTGGCCTGCCCCGTCTCCTTCTTTGGTGAGTCTTACCAAAAACCAAAATTATTATTGTTTTTTGTAATTTTATAACCACAGTGATTTAAAATAACTATTTAGTATCTCCAAGATATCATAATGTTTGAAAATATGACCAGCCTTTTGGCATTTATTATACAAGTTTTCATCAGAGTGTTCTTGAACATATGTGCCCCATGGTTTTTTTCAGTGGTCTTAATGAAAACCTTATCGTTTTAAGGTTTTTAGTGGTATTAAGGAAAGGTGCTGGCACCTGCAGAAAGAGTATCAGCCTAGGTTTGTCACATTAAACCTTTCCCCGAGATACCTTGTTTATATTTAAGTGTAATGATCTCATTCTGTTATTTCCACTCCTGAGGATTTTTTAAATGTCTTATAGTTTACAGGTTCATTAAGGTATTTGATTGATATAAGAGCTAAATAATTATTCTTTTTACTCGTTGGCTTCCAAAATATCATGCTCGATTCCATCATTTGAAGGACTTGGGATTGTTATAAACAAATGTCATGAATATCTTCTTATCTGACCCAAAAGTAGCAAAAATAAAAGGAGCTGCTGATTTAAACTGAGTCAGATTTTATGTCCTGGGTAGATATTTGAGAGGAAGAAGAATCATATTCCATCATTTTTGTTCACTTTGACAGAGAGTGTCTTCTGTTCCTTACTTAACACCCACCAGTAATAGTTTTTTCATAGATGAATGGAAGCCGAGTGCTGTGCCATTCTCTACAGGGGAAATGATACTTCAATATGGTTTGGTGACTCCATCTATTCAAATTAAACTACTGCACTTCAACTGTTCCTACCTAAGCTATTCTCCCTAGAGCCTCCTATCTCCTTTCCTTGAAACTCCACCCGCTGCTGCCCAGGCCAAAAACCTTGGAATTGTCCTTGATTCTTCTCTTCCTCTCATATTCCACATTATACCACATACTGATGACACAGGTTCTTCAGCTAAGGTTTGGAAATGTGCTTGTTATGGCATAGATTAATATCTGTCTGAGGTGAAAGGTACCTCATTTATTTTTTATTTATTTTTTCTTAGGTAATACAATTCAAATTTAATTAATGAGCAGTTTCTACCATTTCACAAGGGAACATGAAAGTGTGTGTATATGCACAGTTTTGATAATGGCAGTGCCTTTTTTAAAATATCAAAGCTAATTTACTTCCCCTTATTGTATATAAATTTTCACATCATTTTTCATTTTTCCATTTTTTAAAAGGTTATACTCCATTTATAGTTATTATAAAATATTGGCTATATTCCCTGGAAATGTACCCCATTTTATATGCGAGGAGCTGATGCTGACATTTCCTCACACACAAAGGAACCCTAAAAAGAAACACACTAGTACATTGCTAATAAACATAATTAGTACATTGCTGGTATAACCCAAGTAAACTTGAGTTTAGGTATGAGTTATAAAGTCATTCTTTTGCATCAAATAGCAAGACTCCTTAAGGACGGTTATTTCCTTCTACAGTTTACAAACTCCTACTCCAGAGCACTTTGCTCTGTAGACCCTTGTAAATGCACAATAAATGCTAATTGAATAAATGAATTTTCAGTTTCCAAAGTAATGACCTGGTGCTACAATAATCCCTTCAAAAACTAGAGGAACAGGCAACATCATTAAACTCTTCCTGCCACTGGGCCACTGATACTGAAGAACCATAAAATACTTTCAGTACTGTAGATTGAAAAAGAAAGCCTGGAACAACATCCACTTTTCTGAACGATTCCAATGCCTCTGAAATGTGACATTTTGCTGTTGTTTCCTTTTACTGTTTTTAATTACTGTGTCTATTTGCATGAAATGAGGATCTGGGTTGCCTAGGAGTTCATCTGCTCCTATTGCATATTCCTCTCTTAAATAAGCGTACTTCAATGCAGTTTTGCTTGCTGCCTTCAACATTTAGACAGGAAACCACTCCCCCCCTTCACTGTCCTCCCATCACTCCCCAGGAGAGAGGTTATTTTTAAAGTACATAATCAATAGGCTTTGGGAAACATCCAGAACATGAGGGTGGTCATATGATTGGGAGCAAGCTACTAAGGACTGCTGAGAGAAGGGATGGCAATAGGCCGTGCCGAAAATTGTCTGAGAAGGGAAAGACAGTCTGTAACTCCCATTTAAGTGTTCTGAGTTATTCTTTTGCACAGGCTTTTGTCTGGGAGGGGCATCTTAGATTGGTTCTTCAACAACGCTTTGAGTTGCAGGAGATGCAGATCAGCATTGACAGTTGCTTTTCAGACCAAATAGTGTTCCATTAAAATTAAGCTTGGTCTGAGGCTCTTGATGGAGTCTTCAATCTCCTGGTCAGGGTGCTGCTGTTTAGTTCTTGATGCCGATGATGCCTTTGCTGAGGGTTTGAGTCAATAATAAACCAATTATGATCACAGTAACTATAAAAACAACTGTTCTGTGGCCCCTGACTCAGCTTCCAGACAAAAGGAATGCTGTTGAATAAAGAAGGCACCTACTGAAAATGTGCAGATGGTCATGCACAGATGCGTATCACTGTTGGAAAGTCACCTGAAGAGGAGTGAAGGGGCTATTTCTGCAATACTCTCCATTACATCACTCAGAAACCGTAGCTCTTTTTTCTTCTTTACTTGCAACCACAGGGCTATCTCCCCTTATGGATTTTTAGGTTTTATTTAATGGCCATTTGTAACTATCCTTCCTGTACCTGAAAAGATGACCTATGACTCCAGCCCTGCTTTTTCTCTCCCCTACTTGTCAGAGGAAATTGATTTCTTGCTCATCTCCTTGGCTTGGGACATTTCATTCTACTGCTTTTGTTTAATATATGATCCTTCCTAAAGATTTGCTTGTATTTCTAGTTGTTTAGTATTTTCTTCCATTTCATTATTTAACTTTATTTAATCATGTCTAGTGAGTTGATTATTACAAATCATTATAGCATTTTATGTGAATTTTTGCTTTGGCTATGCATGGTGCAAAAGAGGCTATGTGTCAGACTTTGCTATTTGTCCTCAGCTGTTTCTATATTATGCACGCTGATCAGACCTTGCTCTAAGGCTAACCTTATATCATTAAGATGCCTTCCTGAGTGAATTCTTCTTTGGCTGAAGAAACTTGGGGGCAGCATTAATTGCAAATAAAGACCATGGCCTATTGTTGAATGTAAAATATCTCTGAGTAGTGTCTGCCTTCACTGTTGCGAACTCTCAGTAGTGACATAAAGACCTTTGTCCTGTGCAGATCCAGTTACAACCGGTGACAGAAGGCATATGTCCACTCTGAACGAAACAACACTTATTTTCATATTCTATGGCTGATGTTGAGTGATAACATTTTTGCATATCCTAAAAATTTTACGCAGATGCTGTTTAAAGGCAAAAAATGCTTTTTACAATAATCTTCTTTATGAATGGAATTTAAACTCTGAATGTGCTGCCTTTTCAATATGCCTGTCAAGTTCTGAATAATAACCTTTGACAGTGCTGAGCAGAAACAAAACCAGAGGTTGTTTCCTCTGTTCACAGCAACATCGTTTGTTATCTTTGATTTTTTGGACTTATGCCCATCCACCTTAAATAAAAATAGGTAAATTAATATTTTAAATGAGTTACTAGACTCATGGTTTAAAGAAATAGTCTACTGCAATTTTTACCATGGCAATTTGCAGATCTTTGTCTCTGGCTGACAACCTGTGATGAATGGACAGTAGTTGACAAGGGGAAAATATCTGCCAATTAATATATTTTCCTATATTACTGTACCAGTAAAATTTTATAAAACCTTTATATGCCTTTATAAAAATGGAGCAAATCTAAAAACAAGGTGCTGAGGATGAGGTGAGGAGTAGACAGAAGAAGTGTTCTTTGTCTTGGAAAGAACTGTAGAATCACCTGTCTCCACATAGTCAAGATAAATCATGTATGGGAAGATTTAAGCTGTCTGCATATAATACATATAGAAATAATTGAAATAGGAAATATCAGGTTTTAAGCCTTTTTGAAAGATTCTTTGACACTGGGTACCTGGTCATAATGAAATATTGTCTATTTTAATAACTTTATTTATAATAACCAAGTGGTTTGTGCATGTGTATATAGCTTTGCCAACAATACCTTTTACCATAGAATGAAATGACCCAACACACCCTAAGTCTGCTTATTGCAGTACAGAATTTATTTTGGTTGAAGTTATTTTGAATTGAGTTGACAGGTTTATGATTGGTATGTTTTGCAAATCGTTGAAGACGATGAAGCAGAGAAGTCCTTGCACAGCAATGTATAAGATATTGTGGCTGTATATCTTTAATAAGCAATGCTTATTTTGACAAGTTTATTGAAAAAATTTATTAACTGCACAAAAAACTTTACAATGAAAATAATAACAGTAAAAACCAGTTATTAACAATTGTACCATCATTTAAAGAATTACTATATTTTTTCTTTCTTCAACAGTGCAAATCCAAGTGGAGGAAAAAGAAGATGATACTGAGGAAAGTTCAAGTAAGTGCGGATGGACATATCCCTACTTGGGATATGTTTCCCATGGAATAGTGGTGAATTCAGGGGATTCACCCTTTTATCTTGTGGGAATATGCTACCGTATGCAAGCAGAGAAGCGTGTGTGGATGGTCTCACAAAAGAGTTCAAGACCATCAAACAGAATCTCTACTCGAGATTCCATTCAATTGGCACACACACATTCCACCCAATTTATAATTTACTCATGAGTAAGTAGATGGTAGTTCAGAAAAAATTTGCTCTTTTATTTCTTTACTATTTTCCCCCATGAAAATCTTTGTCCTAAAAGCTTTTCTCTAAGGCTGAATCTATTACAATATAACAGATTGACCTTTTTGACTGAACTGATCAGGTGGTTCAATAAAAATGAAAAAACCTGTTCTTTTGTACTGAATTCATGGGTATTTTGTCGGAATTGCTCTGTAGTTCTTACTTTGAGTAGGTTCAGCTCAAGAGCTGTGACCCCTTTCCAGGCATGCAGACCCCTCATGGACTGGAACAGAGAAAGATCATTATATGAGCAAAAGTTTTGAGTTTACCAAAACTGAAAGAGCAGCATCTCAAGAAGAGTTCAATTAGAGAATACATCAACACTGTCAATTAAAAACCTGAGCCCAACATGACAGCCAGTGAATGTTCATGATGACAGTTGGTTTCATTAATTTGGTACATTTTACATGAAAACAGCCCAGAGTCTCACATAGATCCTAGATGCTATGACTTGACTACTGCCGGGGAGGAAAAGTAATTTTTCCTCTACCCTCCTGAGTTCTTAGCTGATACCCCTATAATATAAGACAGTTTAACAAGAAAAAAACCAAAACAAACCAGAAGTTTATTAACACATACACCTCACGTATACATGGGAGATATCCAGGAAAATGAGTAACTGTGAGGTGGCTTAAAATTTAGATTTGAACACCATCTAAAGAGGGGAGAGGGAGGGCATGTAGGTCTCTTGAGAGAGAATAAATAAGTTTTAGGAGAATAGATGGGAATTATGATAGTTTATGATAAAGTGTGTCTGCATGTGGTGTTGACCTATAGTCTCCTGTGATAATAGTCTATCTTCCTTGGGGATGAAACTCCTGGGGAGGGGATTTATGACAGTTGAGCTCCTTTTGGAGACTCTGTCTTTAAGCAGCTAAGAGAAGTTCAGAGAGAGTCTCTTCCTGCATTTGCTGTTTTTCAAGTGCTACAGCTCAAAATAGTCAATACACCAAAGTGGCATATTTTGGGGTGGTATATTCAGAATGCCTTTTTGACGTGGTATATTTTGCTACCCTTCAAAACTGAATCAAGCCCATTCCAAAAGGTAATGTATGCAAATCCACATTTAGTAGGCAACTGTAAAACATTCCTTTTTTAAGAATTTGAATATTTGGAAACTAGTTAAAGCACTAAATATAGCCTTTTTGTCCTAAGTGCTAAAATATAAATATAATAATACACTTTTCATCCATGGTCAAACTCTGCAAGCTTAATAGTTTAGCCTTAATATGAAATATACTAAAATGCAGGGTAGTAAGTGGCTGCTAGAGTTTTCGAGCTATTTGTAGGTGAAATTGTTTCTCAGTTCCTGTGAGGCTCTGTTCTTTCTACAATTAGTGACTAAAATGAATAATAAAGGCTGGGTAAATTTTCAGAATGCCAGAGTGGGGTTCAAATAACATATAACATTTGCCACAGTATTTAACAAATGGAAACTCATTCTTGGTTTTGATAACAAAATATAGTTTTCCAAACCCGGTTAGAAAAGTTGCTCTCTGTTAGTCAAACTTTAGTAATAATGGTAATATTTAGATCTTAGATTTGAAATATCAATAGAAAAATTTTGATAAGTAATGTTAAAAAGATAACAAAAAGATTTTAAAAGATAAAATAATGACACACATATGTAAAAATTAAGACATTTAACTAATAAATGAGGAATCTGGTGAGGCATTTATAGCAGTTACCAGTTAAAGGAAAATTCAAAGAACAGATATATTTATAGATCAGGAATATTGAAATGATTGTGCAAATAAGGCATGACTGTTTTGGGGATTTTTTTCTTTCATTTTCTTTTTCGGTGATGGAAGGTTGTCTCTGCATTAAGCAGAGTTCACTTTCTTGTCTACAGACAAGAACTATTTTGCATTGCTATCTAGTTATCCGTAACTTACAAAGTTATAAAATAGCTTCCATAGAATCAGAATCAGTAACACAGAAGGGTATGGTGCAGACAATTCATAGTTTTCCATTAAAGCACAAATTTTTCCCTGAGTAGCTTCTATTTAAGAAGATAGTGATAATTATGAGTAATATTTGTTTTTTGTAATAAACATCAGAAGTTGACTCTAAATATCAGAAGTTAAAAAACAAAAATGAAAGTGAAGTAGGATGTATGTCATGAACGGTGAAGGAAGGAACTGAATTCTCCCTCTACTCTTTACCTGGAAGCTTCCGAAGAAGTTATGGACATGTGAGGCATTAATTGTTAGTTGATGAATAAAATAAAATGTCATTTTTCTCAGTTTTGTATTAAATTTACAAGTTATTTATATCTAATTCTAATCAAAAAGATAAAATGATCAAGCAAAGGTATTTACTATCAATTTCATTTAAGAAACAGGAAGAAATATCTAGGCAAAAGAAGAAATATTTGAAGTCAAGAATGAGAATAATTTTACATAAAATAGGTAAGCAACAAGGATTTACTGTGTAACACAGGGAACTGTATTCAATATCTTGTAAAAACCTATAAAGGGAAATAATCTGAAAAAATATATATGTATGTATAATTGAATCACTTGCTGTATACCTGAAACTTACACAGTACTGTAAATCAACTATACTTCAATTTTTTTTAAAAAGTAAAAAAAAGAAAAAGAATGAGAAGAATTTGAATTAGGAGGAATGTCAAGGCATACATTAATTTCCTCAAAATTATTCTGGTTTGTAGCATTTCCTTGTCATTCTTATTCTTTGTTCTGAGATAGAAGTAGTATTAGCACATAGTGTTTAAACATTCAACCCTTATGTGTTGAATTGGTAACCTATAAACTTGGTCTGAGAGATCATGGTGTGATATTAAACTCCAACTCATCTAGTTACCCAAGTAAATGAAGGCTGGAATTCTAAGCATTATTAGAATTTAGGGATCGACACTGACATATGAGTAGATAAACCACAAGAAATGAGAATTTAGATAAATGTATTTATTTATTTTAAATTTATTTATTTATTTATTGGCTGTGTTGGGTCTTCGTTGTGGGCTTTCTCTAGTGGTGGCGAGCGGGGGCTACTCTTCGTTGAGGTGCGCACACTTCTCATTGCGGTGGCTTCTTTTTGTTGCAGAGCATGGGCTCTAGGCACGTGAGATTCAGTAGTTGTGGCACGCGGGCTCAGTAGTTGTGGCTCACGGGCTCTAGAGCACAGGCTCAGTAGTTGTGGTGCAAGGGCTTAGTTGCTCTGCGGTATGTGGGATCTTCCCGGACCAGGGCTCGAACCTGTGTCCCCTGCATTGACAGGCAGACTCTCAACCACTGCGCCACCAGGGGAGTCCCTAGATAAATGTAATTAAGTGGCAGGCTATGAAATATATATGGCATGATGCATCTTATCTTGATATGGCAAATTGCTGGATTATGGTCTCAGATGTGTGACAATGATAATTAAAAAGTAAGAATACATTTGGTAGCGGGAGAGCACTTTTCTGATACTGCTCACTGAAGCATTAACTGCTATGTTTAGGTGAAGAGGAAGAGGAGGAGGAAGACAAACTACCTCGAAGAGAGAGCATGAGACCAAAGAGGAAACGGACCAGAGATGTCATCAATGAAGATGACCCAGAACCTGAACCAGAGGATGAAGAAACGAGGAAGGCCAGAGAAAAAGAGAGAAGGAGGAGGATGAGGAGAGGAGAGTAAGTTAGTTCTTATCTGAAATTGCTTCTCATTCAGAAGTGCCTGATGCTGAAAGAAGACCACTCCCTTTAGGCACTCCCTGGCCTTAAAATTGGTAATTAAAACTACTTTCAGAAAAACAGGCTTCATCTGCCATTTTACTCCACTTAGTTAAATGTATTTTGATATTAAAATAGAATTGTAAAATGAATATATATTAAGAATGGACTTATGAGAAATTCCCTTATGAGAGATCTAAATTGTCATAGGTCATTAACATATTTAGTTAATTTAAATATTTTAAAGTTATCCCATTAGTTAAGTGCATCGTTACTGAAGTTAAGTATAAGCGTACTTCAATGCAGTTTTGCTTGCTGCCTTCAACATTTAGACAGGAAACCACTCCCCCCCTTCACTGTCCTCCCATCACTCCCCAGGAGAGAGGTTATTTTTAAAGTACATAATCAATAGGCTTTGGGAAACATCCAGAACATGAGGGTGGTCATATGATTGGGAGCAAGCTACTAAGGACTGCTGAGAGAAGGGATGGCAATAGGCCGTGCCGAAAATTGTCTGAGAAGGGAAAGACAGTCTGTAACTCCCATTTAAGTGTTCTGAGTTATTCTTTTGCACAGGCTTTTGTCTGGGAGGGGCATCTTAGATTGGTTCTTCAACAACGCTTTGAGTTGCAGGAGATGCAGATCAGCATTGACAGTTGCTTTTCAGACCAAATAGTGTTCCATTAAAATTAAGCTTGGTCTGAGGCTCTTGATGGAGTCTTCAATCTCCTGGTCAGGGTGCTGCTGTTTAGTTCTTGATGCCGATGATGCCTTTGCTGAGGGTTTGAGTCAATAATAAACCAATTATGATCACAGTAACTATAAAAACAACTGTTCTGTGGCCCCTGACTCAGCTTCCAGACAAAAGGAATGCTGTTGAATAAAGAAGGCACCTACTGAAAATGTGCAGATGGTCATGCACAGATGCGTATCACTGTTGGAAAGTCACCTGAAGAGGAGTGAAGGGGCTATTTCTGCAATACTCTCCATTACATCACTCAGAAACCGTAGCTCTTTTTTCTTCTTTACTTGCAACCACAGGGCTATCTCCCCTTATGGATTTTTAGGTTTTATTTAATGGCCATTTGTAACTATCCTTCCTGTACCTGAAAAGATGACCTATGACTCCAGCCCTGCTTTTTCTCTCCCCTACTTGTCAGAGGAAATTGATTTCTTGCTCATCTCCTTGGCTTGGGACATTTCATTCTACTGCTTTTGTTTAATATATGATCCTTCCTAAAGATTTGCTTGTATTTCTAGTTGTTTAGTATTTTCTTCCATTTCATTATTTAACTTTATTTAATCATGTCTAGTGAGTTGATTATTACAAATCATTATAGCATTTTATGTGAATTTTTGCTTTGGCTATGCATGGTGCAAAAGAGGCTATGTGTCAGACTTTGCTATTTGTCCTCAGCTGTTTCTATATTATGCACGCTGATCAGACCTTGCTCTAAGGCTAACCTTATATCATTAAGATGCCTTCCTGAGTGAATTCTTCTTTGGCTGAAGAAACTTGGGGGCAGCATTAATTGCAAATAAAGACCATGGCCTATTGTTGAATGTAAAATATCTCTGAGTAGTGTCTGCCTTCACTGTTGCGAACTCTCAGTAGTGACATAAAGACCTTTGTCCTGTGCAGATCCAGTTACAACCGGTGACAGAAGGCATATGTCCACTCTGAACGAAACAACACTTATTTTCATATTCTATGGCTGATGTTGAGTGATAACATTTTTGCATATCCTAAAAATTTTACGCAGATGCTGTTTAAAGGCAAAAAATGCTTTTTACAATAATCTTCTTTATGAATGGAATTTAAACTCTGAATGTGCTGCCTTTTCAATATGCCTGTCAAGTTCTGAATAATAACCTTTGACAGTGCTGAGCAGAAACAAAACCAGAGGTTGTTTCCTCTGTTCACAGCAACATCGTTTGTTATCTTTGATTTTTTGGACTTATGCCCATCCACCTTAAATAAAAATAGGTAAATTAATATTTTAAATGAGTTACTAGACTCATGGTTTAAAGAAATAGTCTACTGCAATTTTTACCATGGCAATTTGCAGATCTTTGTCTCTGGCTGACAACCTGTGATGAATGGACAGTAGTTGACAAGGGGAAAATATCTGCCAATTAATATATTTTCCTATATTACTGTACCAGTAAAATTTTATAAAACCTTTATATGCCTTTATAAAAATGGAGCAAATCTAAAAACAAGGTGCTGAGGATGAGGTGAGGAGTAGACAGAAGAAGTGTTCTTTGTCTTGGAAAGAACTGTAGAATCACCTGTCTCCACATAGTCAAGATAAATCATGTATGGGAAGATTTAAGCTGTCTGCATATAATACATATAGAAATAATTGAAATAGGAAATATCAGGTTTTAAGCCTTTTTGAAAGATTCTTTGACACTGGGTACCTGGTCATAATGAAATATTGTCTATTTTAATAACTTTATTTATAATAACCAAGTGGTTTGTGCATGTGTATATAGCTTTGCCAACAATACCTTTTACCATAGAATGAAATGACCCAACACACCCTAAGTCTGCTTATTGCAGTACAGAATTTATTTTGGTTGAAGTTATTTTGAATTGAGTTGACAGGTTTATGATTGGTATGTTTTGCAAATCGTTGAAGACGATGAAGCAGAGAAGTCCTTGCACAGCAATGTATAAGATATTGTGGCTGTATATCTTTAATAAGCAATGCTTATTTTGACAAGTTTATTGAAAAAATTTATTAACTGCACAAAAAACTTTACAATGAAAATAATAACAGTAAAAACCAGTTATTAACAATTGTACCATCATTTAAAGAATTACTATATTTTTTCTTTCTTCAACAGTGCAAATCCAAGTGGAGGAAAAAGAAGATGATACTGAGGAAAGTTCAAGTAAGTGCGGATGGACATATCCCTACTTGGGATATGTTTCCCATGGAATAGTGGTGAATTCAGGGGATTCACCCTTTTATCTTGTGGGAATATGCTACCGTATGCAAGCAGAGAAGCGTGTGTGGATGGTCTCACAAAAGAGTTCAAGACCATCAAACAGAATCTCTACTCGAGATTCCATTCAATTGGCACACACACATTCCACCCAATTTATAATTTACTCATGAGTAAGTAGATGGTAGTTCAGAAAAAATTTGCTCTTTTATTTCTTTACTATTTTCCCCCATGAAAATCTTTGTCCTAAAAGCTTTTCTCTAAGGCTGAATCTATTACAATATAACAGATTGACCTTTTTGACTGAACTGATCAGGTGGTTCAATAAAAATGAAAAAACCTGTTCTTTTGTACTGAATTCATGGGTATTTTGTCGGAATTGCTCTGTAGTTCTTACTTTGAGTAGGTTCAGCTCAAGAGCTGTGACCCCTTTCCAGGCATGCAGACCCCTCATGGACTGGAACAGAGAAAGATCATTATATGAGCAAAAGTTTTGAGTTTACCAAAACTGAAAGAGCAGCATCTCAAGAAGAGTTCAATTAGAGAATACATCAACACTGTCAATTAAAAACCTGAGCCCAACATGACAGCCAGTGAATGTTCATGATGACAGTTGGTTTCATTAATTTGGTACATTTTACATGAAAACAGCCCAGAGTCTCACATAGATCCTAGATGCTATGACTTGACTACTGCCGGGGAGGAAAAGTAATTTTTCCTCTACCCTCCTGAGTTCTTAGCTGATACCCCTATAATATAAGACAGTTTAACAAGAAAAAAACCAAAACAAACCAGAAGTTTATTAACACATACACCTCACGTATACATGGGAGATATCCAGGAAAATGAGTAACTGTGAGGTGGCTTAAAATTTAGATTTGAACACCATCTAAAGAGGGGAGAGGGAGGGCATGTAGGTCTCTTGAGAGAGAATAAATAAGTTTTAGGAGAATAGATGGGAATTATGATAGTTTATGATAAAGTGTGTCTGCATGTGGTGTTGACCTATAGTCTCCTGTGATAATAGTCTATCTTCCTTGGGGATGAAACTCCTGGGGAGGGGATTTATGACAGTTGAGCTCCTTTTGGAGACTCTGTCTTTAAGCAGCTAAGAGAAGTTCAGAGAGAGTCTCTTCCTGCATTTGCTGTTTTTCAAGTGCTACAGCTCAAAATAGTCAATACACCAAAGTGGCATATTTTGGGGTGGTATATTCAGAATGCCTTTTTGACGTGGTATATTTTGCTACCCTTCAAAACTGAATCAAGCCCATTCCAAAAGGTAATGTATGCAAATCCACATTTAGTAGGCAACTGTAAAACATTCCTTTTTTAAGAATTTGAATATTTGGAAACTAGTTAAAGCACTAAATATAGCCTTTTTGTCCTAAGTGCTAAAATATAAATATAATAATACACTTTTCATCCATGGTCAAACTCTGCAAGCTTAATAGTTTAGCCTTAATATGAAATATACTAAAATGCAGGGTAGTAAGTGGCTGCTAGAGTTTTCGAGCTATTTGTAGGTGAAATTGTTTCTCAGTTCCTGTGAGGCTCTGTTCTTTCTACAATTAGTGACTAAAATGAATAATAAAGGCTGGGTAAATTTTCAGAATGCCAGAGTGGGGTTCAAATAACATATAACATTTGCCACAGTATTTAACAAATGGAAACTCATTCTTGGTTTTGATAACAAAATATAGTTTTCCAAACCCGGTTAGAAAAGTTGCTCTCTGTTAGTCAAACTTTAGTAATAATGGTAATATTTAGATCTTAGATTTGAAATATCAATAGAAAAATTTTGATAAGTAATGTTAAAAAGATAACAAAAAGATTTTAAAAGATAAAATAATGACACACATATGTAAAAATTAAGACATTTAACTAATAAATGAGGAATCTGGTGAGGCATTTATAGCAGTTACCAGTTAAAGGAAAATTCAAAGAACAGATATATTTATAGATCAGGAATATTGAAATGATTGTGCAAATAAGGCATGACTGTTTTGGGGATTTTTTTCTTTCATTTTCTTTTTCGGTGATGGAAGGTTGTCTCTGCATTAAGCAGAGTTCACTTTCTTGTCTACAGACAAGAACTATTTTGCATTGCTATCTAGTTATCCGTAACTTACAAAGTTATAAAATAGCTTCCATAGAATCAGAATCAGTAACACAGAAGGGTATGGTGCAGACAATTCATAGTTTTCCATTAAAGCACAAATTTTTCCCTGAGTAGCTTCTATTTAAGAAGATAGTGATAATTATGAGTAATATTTGTTTTTTGTAATAAACATCAGAAGTTGACTCTAAATATCAGAAGTTAAAAAACAAAAATGAAAGTGAAGTAGGATGTATGTCATGAACGGTGAAGGAAGGAACTGAATTCTCCCTCTACTCTTTACCTGGAAGCTTCCGAAGAAGTTATGGACATGTGAGGCATTAATTGTTAGTTGATGAATAAAATAAAATGTCATTTTTCTCAGTTTTGTATTAAATTTACAAGTTATTTATATCTAATTCTAATCAAAAAGATAAAATGATCAAGCAAAGGTATTTACTATCAATTTCATTTAAGAAACAGGAAGAAATATCTAGGCAAAAGAAGAAATATTTGAAGTCAAGAATGAGAATAATTTTACATAAAATAGGTAAGCAACAAGGATTTACTGTGTAACACAGGGAACTGTATTCAATATCTTGTAAAAACCTATAAAGGGAAATAATCTGAAAAAATATATATGTATGTATAATTGAATCACTTGCTGTATACCTGAAACTTACACAGTACTGTAAATCAACTATACTTCAATTTTTTTTAAAAAGTAAAAAAAAGAAAAAGAATGAGAAGAATTTGAATTAGGAGGAATGTCAAGGCATACATTAATTTCCTCAAAATTATTCTGGTTTGTAGCATTTCCTTGTCATTCTTATTCTTTGTTCTGAGATAGAAGTAGTATTAGCACATAGTGTTTAAACATTCAACCCTTATGTGTTGAATTGGTAACCTATAAACTTGGTCTGAGAGATCATGGTGTGATATTAAACTCCAACTCATCTAGTTACCCAAGTAAATGAAGGCTGGAATTCTAAGCATTATTAGAATTTAGGGATCGACACTGACATATGAGTAGATAAACCACAAGAAATGAGAATTTAGATAAATGTATTTATTTATTTTAAATTTATTTATTTATTTATTGGCTGTGTTGGGTCTTCGTTGTGGGCTTTCTCTAGTGGTGGCGAGCGGGGGCTACTCTTCGTTGAGGTGCGCACACTTCTCATTGCGGTGGCTTCTTTTTGTTGCAGAGCATGGGCTCTAGGCACGTGAGATTCAGTAGTTGTGGCACGCGGGCTCAGTAGTTGTGGCTCACGGGCTCTAGAGCACAGGCTCAGTAGTTGTGGTGCAAGGGCTTAGTTGCTCTGCGGTATGTGGGATCTTCCCGGACCAGGGCTCGAACCTGTGTCCCCTGCATTGACAGGCAGACTCTCAACCACTGCGCCACCAGGGGAGTCCCTAGATAAATGTAATTAAGTGGCAGGCTATGAAATATATATGGCATGATGCATCTTATCTTGATATGGCAAATTGCTGGATTATGGTCTCAGATGTGTGACAATGATAATTAAAAAGTAAGAATACATTTGGTAGCGGGAGAGCACTTTTCTGATACTGCTCACTGAAGCATTAACTGCTATGTTTAGGTGAAGAGGAAGAGGAGGAGGAAGACAAACTACCTCGAAGAGAGAGCATGAGACCAAAGAGGAAACGGACCAGAGATGTCATCAATGAAGATGACCCAGAACCTGAACCAGAGGATGAAGAAACGAGGAAGGCCAGAGAAAAAGAGAGAAGGAGGAGGATGAGGAGAGGAGAGTAAGTTAGTTCTTATCTGAAATTGCTTCTCATTCAGAAGTGCCTGATGCTGAAAGAAGACCACTCCCTTTAGGCACTCCCTGGCCTTAAAATTGGTAATTAAAACTACTTTCAGAAAAACAGGCTTCATCTGCCATTTTACTCCACTTAGTTAAATGTATTTTGATATTAAAATAGAATTGTAAAATGAATATATATTAAGAATGGACTTATGAGAAATTCCCTTATGAGAGATCTAAATTGTCATAGGTCATTAACATATTTAGTTAATTTAAATATTTTAAAGTTATCCCATTAGTTAAGTGCATCGTTACTGAAGTTAAGTGAAAAACTCCTAAACAATGAACCCAAATCACTTATCTTACAGAGCAGGAGTTGGCCAACCATGGTTAATTCCAACCCAAGGGCTAAGAATGGTTCTTACAGTTTTAATAAAACTGTAATTTTAAAAAAAACAAAGAGGAACATGGGACAGAGCTGTATATAGCTCCCAAAGTCTAAAATGTTAACTATCTGTCCCTTTACAGAAAAACTCCTAAACAATGAACCCAAATCACTTATCTTACAGAGCAGGAGTTGGCCAACCATGGTTAATTCCAACCCAAGGGCTAAGAATGGTTCTTACAGTTTTAATAAAACTGTAATTTTAAAAAAAACAAAGAGGAACATGGGACAGAGCTGTATATAGCTCCCAAAGTCTAAAATGTTAACTATCTGTCCCTTTACAGAGGATTGGGATTGTCATTTCCTTTTTAATATAACCCTGTGTCTTTCAGTTCTACCAGGCCAACGTTTTTCTGAGTGCTGTCTTTGTGTAGAATAATATATTAAATGCTGTTTAGGAAAAATCCAAGAAAATAATTTTCTAGTCTTTGCTTTCTGGAAAATTGCAGATGGCAGGCAGGTAGGAAAAGTGTGCATGTAAAACACATTTACTGATAGAAAACCTAGACCCCTTGGAAAGGATTTAAGAGAATAGCTCCTCTGCCACCCCAGGTGGGGCATGGGAATCACCATGAGGTGATGGGATCTCCTCTGAAACAGTCCTAGGACTTTAAATGGTGAGGAACTTTCCAAGATAGCCTCCCAAGATGACACATTGCAGTACTCAATAACAAGCTATTATTTTCCTCTTCATAAGTAATTGTAATTAAATACAACTATGTGAACATTTTGTCAGGTAGAGAAGCTTAGCATTAATAGACGATGGTTCCTTTTAAAATAAGAGTAGCCCTACCCATTTCTTCATTATATTTTTGTTGATTTAAGTTTTTAAATCTCTCTCTTCCTCTTCTTTCTCTTCTTCCTTTTTCTCCTTCTCCTCCCCAAGTTGCTCCTCTTTCTTCTCTTTGAATACTAAGACATCACCTGCTTTACGTTTTGACTCTGGCATTTTTTATGTCTATCGTCTTTTCAAGTATTTTTATGCTTTGTTCTTTTCAAAAACAGAACACCCTTTTAAGTTCCATGTCTTATTGTGATTGTTATTGCTATTATTATGTAGTAATATTTCCTACTAGCAAAGCTTATGCCTTCTGACAGTGGTATTTCATTGAGAAAACATCACCAATAGACATATGCATGATATAGGTTGTGTTCCACAATTTGCTTTTCCTCTCCACTTGTGCCTCAGAGATGTCCTTTTTAAAAGATGACTTGGGTGGGAATTCCTCTTGTCTCCTGGTCTGTTCAATGCCCTCACTTCAGTGCTCAACCTCTAGAAATAGGACCATATGAATCAACTGGGTCTTGGCCCCTGTTACTTGGGGCAATCTTGTCCCTGTGAAAGTGTCTGTCCTTAGCTGATCCTACTCTCATCCTGATTCTGAGAAGCCAGAATCACCCCTGGCTCCCTCCCTCCCCACTTCTCCACAGAGCCAAACTTGAAACCAACTAAATCCAAGGTTGTAATGTTAACTGTCTTTGGAGATGGTTAAAAAACACTGCCTCGTTTGGCATTTTGGAGTATTTCTAATAATATTACAGGCTTTTCTTGACCCAGTTTTAAGTGAGTAAGTAATACGTTCATAGCACTGAGAAATTCAGCACGTTATACCTCCTTTTTCCTAACAACTGTTGTTTAAATAAATCAAACCTAAGATAGAAAGCCATTCTTACACAGATTAGCCCTAAATTTTAGAAGATAAAGCATGTCAGTGCTATGCCCTTTTAATATGATTAGCACTTTCTTTGAGTGGTTCCTAGAAAAGCAGTTTCCCTGTAATACAGTGTTTTAGTTATGCATTATCATATTTTAATTATGCAAAAATGTAATATTTTAATTACCTGCATATTTGAAGGTAACTTAGCCGGCAACAGCTATACCTTGTAGCACAGCATGATCTTCCTGGAGCAATCAACAATTAACAGCAAAGACTTTAAAAATATACCAGTCTAAGATCATTTAGTGTAGGAATAAATGCCTTTCCATAACATTCTAATCTTGCAAGACATTGTTATATTTTAGTATATTTGATGGTAATCCAATATACAGAAAAACTCTGTACATAAACATTTATTCAATAAATATTTATCCAGCTCCACTTCTGTGGAAGATAATTTACTAATTTCTTTGGAAGATATGGATATGAATATGCAATTGCCTGCATTCTCTAGAAATTCATACTATAGTAAGGGAGAGGCCACTTAGACACAAATTATTATGAAATAAGACAGTATAAATGTGCCAGAGAAGTACAAAGTGATTTAGAGTCTTAGAGAAAAGTATTCTCATAGGGATAATCAGAAAAGGGTATTGAAGACATTTCATATCATTTTTGAAGGAATCATAGAATTTGAATATGTTAAACATACAAAGTACTGGGTTTAAGATAGCAGGAAACTACATAATTAATGTTAGGAATGTAGAGAAATGTAGAGAAATAAGCTTTAGTTACATGGTAAATCCAAACATCAAATAGATCATTCTTTCATTCTTTGTGAGTATTTTATTATGGTTTTACAGCACCATAGGATTTTATATAATAAATATCAAATAATTAAAATAGAAACAACCTAATGGCAATCAGAGTTGTATCTTAGTGGATGGTATTTCCATAGTTCTCTCGAACCAGGATTACTATTCTAAGCCAAATGTCTGCATCGGTCAAAAAGAAAAAACAAAGTATCAATGACAAGTGTATTTTAGAGGGTTAATTTAAATTTTTGTTTCAGTAATCATGACCTGATTAAAAACTCTGGATTGGTAGGAAAGAAAGGAGATTGCGAAGTCATTTTATAAGGTAGGCTGTTAAATTATGGGTATGTCCTCCTATTATTCAGCTGAAACTTTCAAAAACATCTTTTGCCATAGCCCTACTGTGTGTGGTCATGAGTTTAGTGAATGACAAAATATGTTTCTGACTAACACTGAGTCAGATTACATTTTTTTTGTCAGTCAGGGTCTAGTTAGGAGAAAGAAACTCCAACAGTTAATTGAAGAGAGAGTATTTAATAAGAGGACTGTTTAGTAGATATAAATAATTGCTAACTAGGTTACTGGAAAGGTGAAAGAGAACACGAAGTATCATGGTGACAGCAACTATAGGAAGCAAATAGCATACTAGGGGCTGGAGGAACAACGGAAAGAGGTTGGAATTAAAACTTAAAAGCATAGAGGAGAGATCCACAGAGCTGAAACTATTGCAGAGGGGGGCGATGCTCAAGTGGTGCTGGTGTCTACTGGGAGAATGATGAAGCTGGTTCTGCTAGTGTTGGAAAAGTCAGCAAACTAGTTTCACCTGCAGCTATGGGAAGGCCCTGCAGCTCTTGGGGTGAAGAAGCATCACTAAAGAGTAAACATCACCACAGGAAGCAAACAGGAAACCAAAGAAAGGAAAGACCTAGTCCCTTCTTAGTGTCTTCTATGGGCAGCCGAAAAATGAGCCAACTGACAAACCAGAAATGTACCCTACAGAGTCACAGCCACAGCATCACAATATTAAGTATAGAAGGGTAAGTTTGAAGTTAAGCAACAACAGCTCATAACTGAAACAATCTATTACCAAAAAAAAAGAATCTCTGCCATAGGCCATTACATTCCTCAATTTAAAAATCACGTTGTTCGTGTTTAGATTTTGTTTTCTTTGAGTTTTGGACCCTTTGATATTTTTGCAATACTAGGAAAAGAAAAGAAAAGATACATCTCATTTGCTCAGTAAGAAACTAAATTCCTTTGAAGGCCTCTTCAAAGGATTCACTTCTGTCATATATACTTCAAGTTGAATTTTATCAATTGAAGTTTTGAGTTTAATTAACAGATTAAGTTACCTTTGAGGAATAGATTTTTAAATTTTTTCCTATTTCAGTTTTTCTCTTTCTTTCGAGACAGGGCTAACAAATTTTTTAAGGGCACTTCAAAGACATGCTCACCTCTAATTTACTATCCTTGTTGAAAAATAAAGTTTTTAAATGAAATGTAGAATTGGTGGGGGAAGGTGTACAGGGGAACAAAGAAGAGAAGAAAATATATTGATAGATCTGTAACTGTTTCCACACATTTTCTAGTTCTGAGAATTTGAGACTATGGACATAAAATGGTTTCAGTACTTCAGAATGTAAACACTATTGTTTAAAGTTATAATATTTCCAGAAATCCTGCATCACTGTTCAGATACAAGCACTAAGGCTTGTGGATCTCAGCACACACCATATATAGTCAAGTTGCTGTACATTGATCATCTGAGTATCTGGTAGCATTCTTTAAGTTTTGAAGTCAAGCAAAACCTAGCTTTACTAAAGGAGGTTTTTTTTTGTTTGTTTTTTGTTTTAAGGGAAGAAGAAGAAGAAATTGATGAAGAGGAATTGGAAAGATTGAAGGCAGAGTTAGATGAGAATAGACAAATGATTGCTACTGTCAAATGCAAGCCTTGGAAAATGGAAAAGAAAATTGAAGTTCTCAAGTATGGTGCCACTTTTCAAAATTAGAAACATTTTCCCTGCTATTGATCTCCCAAATTCTCTGAGTATTACCTATATATTATAGATAATACTATATGTGATACATCATATATATAATACTCATTATATATAATTTTCATGGTCATATATAACATATATGTTACCTATCATATAGTTAACATATATCACTAGAGAGGCTGGGCTAATGATTATAAAAGAAAACAATCATGATTAAATTCATTATTTGGAGTCTTACAGTCTCAGATCACTTTTAATAATTTGTTCCTTGAACTGAGAATTTCCTTAGTTTAATACATTCATTACTATCTCTCTGAAGGAGATAATATATTTGAATTTTACAAGTTTGTTGGATTGCACACTCTAGTTTCTCTGCAGGGTTCCAGCCTCAAATGATATATTCATGTGACAGCTCTTATTAAAGCACAGGGAGGATGCTAAGCCAACAGAAGAGTAAACGGGATTCCAATTAAGGATTACGCTAATAGCTATTCCCTGGTAACATGTAAGCGACCCAATTTCACTCTTTTGTTGAGTCTTGACACACTCAGAGACACATAGATTTATAAACTCCTGATAAGAAAAGTCAAATGTTTATCCCTTTCCCTTTTGGGACTGGAAGCAGATTCACCTCTGAGGATCACACTATATTTCTTTGCATGGTGGTTTGGGGAAGTGGGGCATGAATAAAAGGGACCATGTCTGTGATAACAGCCATGTTTGCTTCTCACAGATGTGATACAGATTGCAGTTTTTACACAGAACAATTTTTATAAACAGTGGTAAATTTCCAAAGCTATCCCTCCACAAGCCTATTTAACTAATAACGTTAAACATTACAGTGTATCTATAATAATGTTAAAGTGTTTTTGTCTCTGGTGATGAAAAAAGGACTGAAGCAGCTATCAGGATAATTCACTACTAATCCTGGCTCTGCAAGAGTTTGTGTGTTATTTAAGGAAATGGCTTAAACTTCTGGGGCCTCAGTTACCTCATATCCAAAATAAAACAAGATATTCCAGGTTTACCCTATGAGGTGGGAACCTAGGCATCATTTCTAATGTTATTGCTTTGTTTTGTGGAATAAGGTTTCCAAGTTCCAAACAGTGGTCTTGCCAGAAAGCTTTTGGAACACCACACAACTGTAGGCTGGGAACCACTTATGCATGTGCTTGTACACCAGCCATAAATGAAGGCAAAGACAAGTAGCATTTCTGGTTCCATGAAGCTATTAATGTATGTGCATATGCATGTGTGTGTGTGTGTGTGTGTGTGTGTGTGTGTGTGTGTCAAAGTAGTTTTCATTTAATGAAGTGATAATGATGCTAAATGATAGGTTTAGGAAATATCCTTACTTGGCAAAATAGAAGTTTGGTAACCTTATATTGTTTCCCAAAATATTGGGCGGGCCAAAAATTGTCCTCGGTATTTTAAGTAAAAATAAAAGACACATTTTTCATTTTCACCAAGAACTTTATTGAACAGCGTATTCACCCTTTTGTTCCACTACCTTCTGCCATTTTTCAGGCAACTTCATAATTCCATCTTCCCAAAACTTATCTTTTTGAGCAAAGAACTGTTCCAGGTACCTTTTACAGTCTTCCAGGGAACTGAACTTTTTTCCATTAAGAGAATTTTGTAAAGACCAAAATAAAGGGAAATCCGAAGGTGCAATGTCTGGTGAATGTGGCAGATGAATCAGAACTTCCCAGCCAAGCTGTAACAGTTTTCGCCTGGTCATCAAAGAAACATGCGGCCTTGCATTATCCTTATGGAAGATTATGCATTTTCTGTTGACTAATTCTGGATACCTTTCGTGGAGTGCCGCTTTTAGTTGGTCTAATTGGGAGCAGTACTTGTTGGAATTAATTGTTTGGTTTTCCGGAAGGAGCTCATAATAGAGGACTCCCTTCCAATCCCACCATATACACAACATCACCTTCTTTGGATAAAGACCGGCCTTTGGTGTGGTTGGTGGTGGTTCATTTCGCTTGCCCCACGATCTCTTCCATTCCACATCGTTGTACAGTATCCACTCTCCATCTCCTGTCACAATTTGTTTTAAAAATGGAACGTTTTCATTATGTTTCAGTAGAGAATCGCATGTGGAAATATGGTCAAGAAGGTTTTTTTCGCTTAACTTACTTGGAACCCAAACGTCAAAGCGATTCACATAACCAAGCTGGTGCAATGATTTTCAAAGCTTGATTTGGATATTTTGAGTATGTCGGCTATCTCCTGCATGGTATAAAGTTGATTGTTCTCAATTATTGTTTCTGTTTGATCGCTATCAACTTCAACTGGTTTATCTGACCATGGAGCATTGTCCAACGAGAAATCTCCAGCACGAAACTTTGCAAACCACTTTTGACACATTCGATCTGTCACAGCACCTTCTCCATACACTGCACAAATCTTTTTGTGTGTTTCGCTTGCATTTTTACCTTTCTTGAAATAATAAAGCCTGATATGCCGAAAATGTTGCTTTTTTTCTTCCATCTTCAGTATTAAAATGGCTACACAGAAACTCACCAATTTTGATAAGTTTTTTTTTAATGTATGCTGATATGACAGCTGTTACATACAGTCTAACAAAATTGTTTCAAATGAAGTTAAAGACAACTAAGTGCTGCTAGAGGCATCTTACGGAAAAAACCGAATGAACTTTTTGGCCTACCCAATATGTTTTGAAATATTGCTGACCATGAAATTCCCAAACCTGGGAACCACAGGTAACTGTATATAGAAAGTTGTAAAATTGGAAAGTGATAATATTGTGAACTGTCAAAGTGTGGTGTGAAACTGCATTAAAATGCCAAGCAATATATCCTCCCTTTCCACCTGCGTGGAGGTGTAGAAATACCCCCTCACTCTTCTTTGCCTGCATCTTCCATATAGGGCAGTGAAGAAGGGATGGGTTTCAGTCTTAAGTTTGAATCTCAGATCTTCCATTTAATACCTGTGCAAATTTGAATGAATTGTGTAGCCCTCTGACCTTGGGTTTCTTATGAAATTTTACTAATTTACAGGGCTATTGGAATCATAAAGTGAGTTATTTCATATGAAACACTTAGCAGGGTGCCAGAACATAGCACAAAGCTGGGAAACACAAGTTGTAATTATTATTTCATCTCAGGACAGACTCAGTGTTGTCTGATTCCCTGCAGTATGACAGGAGAGATAGGAAGGGTACAGGACCTGGCAGGACTAGGTGGGAGCAGACTTAGCCATAGGCAATCCCAGGAGCCTTGGGGGATGGTGGCACATTGGTATAGCAGTCTGGATGGACAACTGATTTTGATGCTCCAACAAAGAAAAGAGGGTATCTTGACAGTTTGGCAGAATCCACGGTCAGCCGCTTTCAGATCTTCCAAAATGTACCCACAGGGTAATCTTGTGGCAGATTCCAGGTCCTGGGGCCTTAGGCTGGAGTCCAGGGATAAAGCCATTTTTAGAGGCGGGGAGAGATAACGGTTGGGATGGAAGGAAGGGCAATACCATGCCCTATTACTAGGGCAGAGGTTGAAAATGGGGAGGCTGCAGCTGAATCTAGACTATAGGTGGTTTTTATTTGGCCCACATGCTTTTTGTTTCTTTTTCTTTTATTGTTTTTTAAGAATTGTGATTAAATATACATAACATAAAATTTCCCATTTTAATCATCTGGGGGTGTATATTTTTATAAAAATGTTTTTTCTTTGTTGTTAAATTTTAAAAAGTGGGAGATTTCAGATTTTAAAAATCCAGATGTTCAGCTTCTCCTGGATAAGAAGAAAATCTGGTCCCCATTCCTACATGAAAATAATAGCTGGGGCTAAGCAATTGCTGTCCCACTAACAGGGCACTCCGTCTTCAGTGTGCACAGCTCCCAAACAAGCCACATCTCTTATTCACGCTCCTTGGCTGGACCTTATAAGCCTTCAAGTTTGCTGCCTCTTACCCCTGTAGCTGGGGAGCAAGTTAGGCATGCTATCAAGACAGTGATTCAGAAAGTTGGAGTGAAAGCCAGCTCGCAGAATGGAAGCACAGATTTAGGCCCAGAGACGAAACAACTATGGCTTCTCACCTGTTAGCAATGCTCACTGTCTTGGGATGATTCTCCACAGCCAGAAATGGCTCCTGCTTTGTGGCTTTGCAGTATTCTGCACAGCTGGTACCACTGGCCATGGTCAGCCTGATTCTCTTGGTTTCAGCCTCTGTGATAAAGTCGTTGGTACTACAGTGCCCGACCTGTCTCCCTTCGTAGGTTTCTGAATGCTGTACTGAGCTTCTCCCCCACAGATTCCTATCACATATTAGATAGTGGTCAGTACTTCTTAGAACATGCAGTAAAGGTTCTCTACCCCAGTGTTACTAAAACATGGGAGTCAGGCAGCTTTCCTCCCACCCTTTTATTCCATTCAGAGACATCAAACTCTGAGAGAGTGTGTCTAAGGATTATGTTATTCCCAGAAGTAGCCTCCAATCATCACTTCTGGCTAAGTCTATGGAATCCAAGGCACTAGGCCCAAGATAACTGGAGCAGATATTTTCATCACAGGTTTGGATTTGTATCTAGGTTCTGAGGCTTCCCATCTGCCTCTGGACTCTGAAAAACTTGTGAAACTTCTAAAACAGAATTTACAGAGGTCAAGGTTTTAAGATATGTTTTAGAGTAAAGCCTCAGGAATGGTAGCTTATGGTTCTGAGGATGCTGTGGGAGACTCAGGGGTAGTTCTCATATTTTGAAAGATTATCTACCACTAGGAACTTGAGCATTCTCAGGGCTGAGGGTCAAACATTGGTTAATATAAGCAGTAAATACATAGGCACGAACCTCAAAGAATGGGTTGTAAATCCATATGGACTCTCAAACATGGTTTAGGAACTGGAGCTCAGCATTTTTTTTTTTGCGGTACGCGGGCCTCTCACTGCTGTGGCCTCTCCCGTTGCGGAGCACAGGCTCCGGATGCGCGGGCTCAGTGGCCATGGCTCACGGGCCCAG